GATCATGATGATGATGATGATGATGATGATGATCATGATGATGATGATGATGATGATGATGATGATGATGATGATGATGATTAATTGCTAAGGCGGTGTTAGCATGTCATTGTTTCTACTTAAATTGAAAACATAGCTCTCTTACGGCCGTCCTGCAATGCCAAAAAAGTTGGATCCACCTCCAAAAGATCTTTATAGACACAGTCGCGAACCCCGTTAGAATACAACGTAGATGGCGAGGAATGTATATTACTTCTCGTATGATATCTTTTAGTTAACCAAAAGTCACCAAATCTTGCACATATGAAGAAGCAAACTGTAAACCCATAGTGTGGTACGCGAGGAGTGAATGAATGCACGTCCGGGTTCGCCAGCGCGGGTGATTGAGAAACAAAAAATTTTTTAGACATGGCTGGCACGGGTCATTTTACAAGCGGGCTATTCCACTGTAACTGACGTGACTTTTGGATTATTCTTTCTCACAATGATAACACTGTAGTCCAATATCAATTCATTTATTTCAACTTTGAATAATCAGAACACTTGAAAGTGGTATTTAAAATCATATTGAATACAGTCACTAGAAGAAAAAAAAACAGTACTTTATTCAAATTCTGTGACGTGTTTAGTCTTGACGAATGAGGTACCGGTATTTTTCTGTCCTGTCAGTTGCCGAAACTAAACAGGTCTCGAATTTGAATAAAATATATTTGTTCTAAAGACTGCATGTAATATGATTCTTAATATATCTTTCGAATATTCTTATTATTTAAAGTTGAAATGAATTAATTGATATTGAATTACAGTGTTATCGCTGTAAGAAAGTATAGTCCAAATGTCCGTCAGTTACCGTGGAATAGTCCCAGCCTGTATCCCCGTTTTACAAGAATGGAAACGCCAGCCGGATGCGTATCATAGAAGTGGATAGGAAGACAGGTAGCCCGTGGATTAGGCCTACGAGTGACACCGTTTCCAACACAAGTTTTCAAAATATTATTGAGCATCGTGGTAAAATCGTGCACAGGTGAAAAGAATTAAATTGAAGAAGCAGCCATTTATTGTTCCGGGCGTTTGGCATCTTTCATCCATTTCTTTTTTGTTCAGTACCATTTTACGTCTGTTTGTTTTAGTAGAGGTTTTGCGGCGCTCGCAACTGCATGAGGTCATATGAGCACCAAGGGACGGATGTCAACAGAGAAGTCCTTACAGGGAATCAGGCTCACTCTGCTCACCTCTCTAGCTTCAACAGCTCAAGGTTTGCTTCGACAAGCAAGGCACCCCGGAAATATTGAGTCTCAACAGCGTGACAAACATACATTTCCTCCGAATCTCACCATCTAAAAATAAACCTTAAAAAAAAGACTACTATAAACACAAGAATAAAAACAACAACAACAACAGCAACAATAAACAAACAAACAAACAAACAAACAAATAAACAATAAAAAGCCAACAGTTTTAATTTTAGTAAGACTTTTACCGCATCTGCCATGCAGAAAAGTCATAAGTGCCGAAGATACAAGAGAATAGCATACAGAGAAGGCGGTAAGAACTACAAATTGATATTAATAACCATACCATTCTTTCAAAAAAGAAGTCTTAAAAATCTAGGAGTTCAGTTGGATTGTGATATGTCTATGTCTTCCCCAGCTCAGCAAAAGTATTTACTTTCAGCGTAAGAAAATTGGCAGTGTAAGAAATTATTTAACCAAAGCAACAGCAAAGACATTTGTAACAACACTGATTTTATTAAAGTTAGATTACAGTAATGCTATTTTGTCCGGTTTGACAGCCGAAAAACTATCAAAGTTACAAGTACTCCAAAATCAAGCAGCAAAATTGATAATGAAACAAAAGAAATCAGCGCATACAACACCAATTCTGAAAGAACTACACTGGCTGCCAATAAACGAAAGGATCAAATACAAAACTGCCGTTCTCTGTTTTAAATATATAAATGATAGTGCACTCTTTTATTTTAAAACATGCCTGGAATTATATCATCCACATAGAGCCCTTAGATCAGCCTCTGATAATCTAATTCTTAAAACTCCAAAAAAAAATTACAAAAAAATGCGGCGAGCGTTCCTTTTTGTTCTTTGGACCTCAGGTATGGAACGAACTCCCATATAAAATAAGATCTGCCCCAACAATTTACATTTTCAAAAATCAGCCGAGCATTTTTTAATTCACAAAATCATACCTGTCATAATGATGTACTGTGATATAATATAAATATATATATATATATATATATATATATGCCAGACTGTGAGACTGAAGAAATAACGTGTGAGAATGAGGGAGAGAAAGAAAGAGAGAGAGATAGAGAGAAAAGAGAGAGAGAGACACACAGAGAGAGAGAGAGAGAGTGAAAGAGAGAGAGAGAGAGAGAGAGAGAGAGAGAGAGAGAGAGAGAGAGAGAGAGAGAGAGAGAGAGAGAGAGAACGGAAATGTTTTTTCTATCTGTATAGAATGAATGTTTTAATGAATGTTTCTAGTTACTAACGTTTCAACTTTATTGTGATTGTTCGTGAATTTACATTGCATTGTATATTTTTAGTAAACACATTTCCAACCTCACTGCGAGACCGTTTTTCTCATTTAAATTTGTACACATATACATTTATATTATCAGTATAATATTTTGTTTTACGTACACGCATGTCGATTAATTTTTAAGATGTGACGTCTTTTTCGTTGTAATGCGCATTGAGCATCTTTTAGAAAATGGAATGGCACAGTATAAATGCTATTATTATTAAGGTAATAACAATAATTGCTTCATAGGAAAAAAGGAGCAAACGACACTAGAGTAAGCACCAACCACTCACAAAAAGCTAACAAAATGGGAACGCTTGGAAGATCAACGCCCTCCCACCCACCCCTCCCCGAGAAAAAATAATGTATGAATATGAATTAAAACTTGAACAAAACAAATTTGAAACCACCCCCCCCCTACCTAAAGAAAACAACCTAACCCCCCCCCCCCCCCCTTTCCCACCTTCCTGTCAGAGAAAAAAATCCAACCCAAAACCAAGAACTCAAAACAGCTGCAGGAATAACAATAACAAGGCCGTAGAAAATGAATCAAAATGACGGACAAACAGGTTTGCTGTAATCCACAACTCGGTGGAATCAAGGTCGATACTCAACATGCACAGATGCACACAGACCCACATGACACACAATCAAACAGCGAAACCAATGGTCGGAAATCAATAAAAACAAAACAATATGAGAGGCATCGTGGGGAAATCAAGCACTCGTCAAAATAATAAAATCGAAGAAGCTGCCAATTTCTATTTCATTATTTCTTTTTTTAGTTTAATACCTTTTACATCCAGTTAAAACACATTTATGTGTGCATGTTACTGGGAAAACGTTCATCAAAAGCACAAACTGTCAGTTTGCACTTTCCAAGGACACTCAAGTTTTGGAAATCACCAAACTTTTGAAGCCATTTTTCCCTTATTAATTTTGCCTCTGACACCAGGCGACTCTCATCTCTTTCAATTTCACATATCTCGACTTCTATTAAAGGTAGATGAATATATGTTTTAACTTAAAAGCAGTACAAATTAACAAGCTTTGATGATATTGACAACTCTATATTATGCCAAAAAATTGGCGAGCGCCTGATTCCACGATGTCGTGACTCATATCCTCTCTTCCGTGACGAGAAGATCTGAAATCGATGGAAACACGCAAGTCGTCTGTGCGCGTGGGACGGATTTGAGTTGAATCTCTTCTCGATTGAGTACCGTTATCAGTAATGTAACAATTCTAACCCCCCACCCCCATCCCCCACCTTAAAAAAAACCCACAAACTACCGCTGCTCAACGCCCCACCCTCATTCTTTATACTAACTTGTACCGTCAAGTCGATGAATTTCACTTTATTATCTTTCTATTGTCCAATCTTATCATATCAAAGGATTTTTATTCAGTCTTCCCTCCTAAGCTCAACTCTGTGACAAAAATCTACAATGATTAACCCTAAAAATAGAAGTATTTGTACAAACTATGCTTTTTATTGTGGAAGCTTTGTTTAACGACTCAAAATGTTGTTAAATTGCTATTGATACTTGGGTCATTTATCATTAATTGTTTTCAGGAACGTCTCTAGTATTACATGAATAAAAAGTAAATTCCGTATGCTTTAAGTAATATCGTTTGTCAGATGCAAGGTGCTTTGAAAATCAACAGTATGCAAGTGTAGGGGACATCGGTGGTAAAGCTGTTGGGTGCTCCGCCAACGCGTTCAGAAGACGGGAGTTCAATTCCCGAGTGAAGGGTGTTTTTATCGAGCATCGCCGTCTTTCTGCTGGGACGTTGTGTCCCAGGTAACCCAGGCTGTCATTTACACTAATTTACAGGCAAGGACGAAGCAACTCGCTTCCTAAATTATGTTAACTGTGTCGATGGGGCGTAAAACACATTATGAGAGAAGCAACAACTCTCTTCGTCCAGTCTTTTACATAATATTTTAGTCACGATGCGGTGAAATCAGACGGTCGTCAATTTGGGGGCATTTGTGTGTTCCGACCAAGAGAAAATCTCTCTAAATATTCATCTCATCAACTTAAAAAAACAGAAATAGTTTCAGCTAACAGTTGAATGAATGAAAGGATAGTCTGGATAACACCAAATGGACAACATGTCGACCTCCTTACACAGAAAGTAAGCGGCGAATTGCCCTGATATTTTGCATGTTCCTCTGAATTCCAAAAACACTTTTTAAAATCTCGATTTTTATATAATCATTAGTGTTTAATTACAACCTACGCTGGGAATTTTTTATAAGAACAAGAACGTAGTTGAGTGTTAAATTCTGGGTTTTTTAAAATCTCTTTTCTTTTTTTAACTGACTGTTTGTGCCGCAAGACAGACTTGTTTTCAGTCCAGCGGTTAGTGGGTAACAATGGGTTTATTCAGATTGACTAATTGGGATGTACAATGAGTAAAACTTTTTTCATATCTAGCAGTCTTTGAGATCTACCTGTCGCTTTTAATTAATCACCATGGTTAGATTACTTAATTTTCAAACCAACGAACAACGTTGCCTTAAACCTAGTGAACTATTAACTACTGGGTCAATGTTGACATGTCAAATTGATATA